GAGAGAGAGAGAGAGAGAGAGAGAGAGAGAGAGAGAGAGAGAGAGAGAGAGAGAGTAGTGGAAACATGAGACTTACGTCGGCACATGAGTTTTGCATTCTTGGAATGAGGAATGTGCAGCTTGCTTATGCTTAAATCGAAGTCTTTTTTGGTGCTGGTGTTGCCTCTCGCCTCTGTAACAGGTTCGGAAGATGGCGTTCACAGGGTCAACGGCTGTGGGGAGAACGATCATGGAGGGGTGTGCGAAGACGCTCAAAAGAGTACGTAATATGTTACATGTCACCGCTCAGCTGGTTCTGACCGCCTGAGTCATTTTCTTCTTTGTTCGTTATACCGTTTGTACCTGTTGTTTGTATGGGCCGCACGGTCATTCGAAGGGTGTTAAAATTGAAGGCAGGGGCTCCTAGCGGGGTGGGCAGTCCTTGCAGGTGCAGGACTGGTATTGGTGAAGGTGAAATATCCACAGAGCAATCATAAAGACAAAAGAAAGACAATGATTGAAGTCTGAATACACAGACTTGCAGTCCCAAAACACAGACATAAAAATAAGAGAGATAGGTAGTTGTTCGTGATACGCAGTGGTCTAAAGGTCCTGGGAAAAGAAAAAAAAAATGGTGCGGGGGCCTCTTACACACACACACACACACACACACACACACACACACACACACACGCGCACGCACACACACACACACACACACACACGGACACACACACACACTCACACACAAACTCACACACACACTCACATGCACACATACACACATACACACAACAGGCCCACGCCCACCCACATACACACACATACGCACAACACGCCCACGCCCACCCACATGTACACACATACAAACTTGGAGTTGTGTAGCGAACGTGACAAACTAGATCAACAGACAAACTACCGGGTGCACGTCTGTGCCCTCACAGTAAGTTAATTATGGTACATCTTCTTTTTTCTTTCTCTTCTCCTGTGTTCATGGCTCGGTAGCGGGCCTTCAGTTCTTTTTTTGGTGCTTGAAATTGTTTCTCGGCTGGTTTCATTCACTCACATAACCCCCTCTCCCCCCTCTGCCAGACCGCCGGGCAGTCTCTCTTCACACCTCTCGTAATATTTGGATTGTGTCCATTAGCCCACATTGACTTGGAAGTTGGAAGTTGTTGACAGTGATTCTGTGCTGCCCCACTCTCCAATGCAGGTTTCCCTGGAACTGGGCGGGAATGCTCCATTCATTGTGTTTGACGATGCTGATGTTGATCTGGCTGTTCAAGGACTGGTGAGTTGGATTCATTGTATTCTTTTGATTCCTTTGTCCTCGACGACCTGGCAATTGCGTGCCTTGCGATTACTACTTCAGGTAGTAGTACCATGCAACCTTGCAATTAGGGTAAATGCCTTTTTCCACAACTTTCAATTACTATAGGTATATTGAGAAAAGCGATGTAAAGCCTTTTTTGTCGGTAGCCAACGGAGGTGAATGACGCAGCCTGTGATCGTGCCTGCACCGTGCTATGTAAAGCTTTTTTTGTCGGTAGCCAATGGAGGTGAATGACTCCGCCTGTGATTGTGCCTGCACCGTGCTATGTAAAGCCTTTTTTGCCGGTAGCCAATGGAGGTGAATGACCCAGCCTGTGATCGTGCCTGCACTGTGCTAATTAATGTGTGTTCAAGTGTTGCTGTAAAGGCGGATTGTGGACGCAGGATGGACTTTCTGGCAAGTTTGCACATCGGGCATGAGTGTGTCATTATCGAGCGAGTTTGCTTCTGCCAGTCACATTGACTGCTTGCCTGCTTTTTTTTTTGTTCTTTCTCTGGGTGAGGACGCTGCCTGGTTTCTCTGGGTGAGGACGCTGCCTGGCGGGGCCTGCCCGGCCGGTTGGGCCCGGGGGGGGCGCCCGGGTAAACCGGGCGGGCCAAAGAACCGCCCAGAAGTTGTTGGTTTTTTTTTTTGAAAATGGGGTTGTTCTGCGCTCGGTGAGAGGACCACAAATCCACAATAAAATTTTGGTTTGGGGGGTGGCTGGGGGGGGTTGGTCTGGGTGGGGGGTGCTGGGGTTGGGGGGGTGTCTGGGGGAGGAGGACGACCTTCGTTTTTTTTTTTTTTTTTTAAGTACCTCTTTCCCTGCCCTGCATGCCTGAACCATAGGAGCCCCTTCCTGTGCGTTGGCATGGGTGTTTTCACTCTTTGCCTCTCCTTTCTTCCAGGCCTAGCCTTCCGTTTTGTCCTTGCACTCCGACCCACCATATTTAGTGCTGGGGAAAACCTGTAGAGGGTCCTCTCCAGCACTTGCAAGCCCTCTCTATTGGGAGGACCAGATACTTCCATCCAAAGAGCTTCAGAAAAGAATGCAGCTTGGGGCCATGTCCGTAGTTACCCGCCTCAGTACATCGGATGTGTTCCCACCACCTCTCACCTACACCCCGAATTGACTGCCCTATGTACATCCGCTAAACTTTCTATATGCACCTGTTATAATCAGCGCTCAGTTGGTAAGGCATGTAAGTGGCATGCTTGGCGCCCACCTCCTAGAGATAGCCCGTTGGTCCCCCCAATTGGCATTAAAAAGCAGAGTCTCTGCTGACACTCGTAGGGGGAGGGGTAATTCGGGAGGCACAGCGACTGGCCACTCAGATGATGCTCGGTCCCTCTGCTTCCGGCTATCCCCTGGCCGGTGTCCCCCCCCCCATTGGGGGTTCCCTGAAGGCAATAAATAAAGGCCACCCTGGGCTGAAAAGACCACCCGGTGTCAGATTAGACACAAGATGAATTTACTTGGGCTGGGTAGTCCGATGATGATAACACCTCAAGGCCATCGCCTTAAAATAATAATAATAATAATAATAATAATAATAATAATAATAATAATAATAATAATCGTCAAAGCTGGGGGTGTCAAAACGTGCTCGCCCACTCACTATTTTGATTTTTTTTACTTAACTTTTTGTTTTCACTTTATTTCGGGGCCTAAAACATTTTATTATTTTTAATTTTTTTTTTATTGATGTATTGATTATGTAAACTACATATCTGTAAATTTTCAGGGCATTTTTCAATGCCAAAAAATAATTAAAAATCGGCAAAGATGGCGGTGTCGAAAAGGTGCTGGCACACTCACTCATTTTAATTCTCTTTTTATTTTTTCTTATTTTTATCGTAGTGTTTATTTTCTGTATTTGATTTTTAATTCAAATTTGGTAAATAAATTGGATGTAGTGCCCAGGCAAATGTTGTTTAGTTATTTTTCTCCATAACATAGTTTTTGTTCGGAATTTTTTGAAAATTCTGTTTTTTTTTTTTTTTTTTTTTTTTTGGTCCGCGTTCGGTCCGAACGGCCGAACGCCTTCCGAAGGGATCCCGTACGTTCGGGCGTTCGGGTTCGGGCGTTTGGCCCGTCCCGAACGCCGGTAACCCTGATAATATTAATAATACACCTGCTATGACGTCCAAATTATGGTTGTTTCTTTTTGTCTTTTTTTTCCCTTTTGTGGATTACGGTGGATGCAATGTGGAGGTCGTTTTTCTTTTTATCTTTTTCGCAAGAGTACGTTCGGGCGTACGGGTTCGGGCGTTCGGCCCGTCTCTCTCTGTATCGTCCCAATTTTAACCGAGAACACTTCGACGGACCTGGGAGGTCACTCCTTTCCTTTACTTTAGTGGTGAAAGCACAGAGTCAGGAATTCTGTCCATGCTAGTGTTATGCTATTATATTGACGTCACTTTCAGCGGTACAGAGAGAATTGCGTATACCAAAGAGATTTTCTGTCTAGTATATATTTTTTTCTCATTGTACTTTTACGAAAATCTGGACAAATGCATTCAGTACCATTTCATTCTCCATTTTTATTTTTTTTTCAAAAATATGGGGAAAAGGCTTTCAGGCTTCGGCAGCATTTGTTTCTCTTTTTTTGCGTTTGTTTTCAATTTTTTTTTCTGAATAACTGTGTCACACAGTAGATTTTGTTTTCTCAATTGTACTTTTTCAAAAAGCTGGACAAATGTACCATTTCTCTCTCCCTTTTTTTTTTCAAAAATATGAGAAAGGCATTCAGGCTTCAGCAGCATTTGTTTCTCTTTCTTTGCATTTCAATTTTTTTATTCTGAATAACTGTGTCACACTGTAAAATTTGTAGCTCTATTCTAAGGTGTAAGTGGGACAATGCATGGGTTCCTGGTAATTCAGAATCATGGTGTAATTCAAGTCATCTGACATGTATCTGGACTCGAACTTGAGTCTTTATTTCAACAGTTCATGGGTGTACCAGCTGAGCTAGGCCCGTTGGTTGTGTTCGACAATGTCTGTTTTAAACACATGCACAGCAGAGGCAGACAGCGTTTGAGGGGGCTGTTTTTTTGGGAATACATGTGAGAAAGGGCCTCGCTCCACTCACGGAATGATCAAAGAGAGAATGAATATTTTGCCAGAGCATGGGAAGATACAGGGACAAGAAGTCTGGGGACCCTCAAAGGAGCCTGGGCATAACTTTTCCACCTTCGCATAGCCTGAAAATTGTTTTCCTGCCAGCGGCGGGTACCGGCCCAGGTCGTTACGGGCCCAGCCGGGCTATGAAACCGTGCGTTCACTGAATGCGGGTTTTGCGTTCAATTTTTGAAGGAAATGCATGCGCGTTCGACGAACTCGACCGAACGCGGAGTTCAATTCTGCGGTTCCAGGTTGCGGCCTGCAGCATTTGGATGAGCTGTGCTAGAGAGAGAGAGAGAGAGAGAGAGAGAGGCTCCAAAAAAAAGAAAAAGAAAGAAAAACGGAATGCTGTTCGAATGTGAATGTGCGTTCATGGAATTCAAACGGTTACACCACTCATTCAGAAATGCGGTCATACTTTCTCAATGCCTAAAACCACAAATCAGAAGAATGCTGCAATCCTCTCTCTCTCTCTCTCTCTCTCTCTCTCTCTCTCTCTCTCTCTCTCTCTCTCTCTCTCTCTCTCTCTCTCTCTCTCTCTCTCTTGCGTGTGGAGGCTCGCTTGTGTGTGTTTGTGACACTTCGTGTGCATTGGTAGGAATGTCTCTTCGGGTTTTTGTGCATATACTATCTTGCGAAAGTATCCAGCATGGACCAGCAGGTATCTCCTTTTTTGGCCATGTTTTTTTAGCAGTCCCTGTTCATCTTTCTGCCTTTCTGCTCCGAAGGATCTGAACAGTTATTGACGGTCCTTGTGTTATTGCGACAGATAGCTGCAAAATTCTGGAATAATGGACAAGTGTGCATCTCTCCAAACCGGGTCCTCGTCCACGATGGTAAGTTGGCATTGTGATCGATCTGCCCCCAGCCACTGCAAGGTTACGACATTATCTCCTAAACATTTTGTGACTTTTTGTCCCAAGTCTTCCGTACTTCCATCCGGCATGTCGGACGTGATGCGCACGTTTTCCTCATGTTCACACCCCAATTCTCGAGTGCATTTGCTCACAAGTGATCCCCGGCCATCCGTAGAGTTTTCTCAATGCCCGAATCTGGACGTGTTTGTGGACAGGTGATGTTGAAGAAACTCAACATTGTTCTCTGCACAGCTCCACAAACATGTCCAGATTCGGGAATTGAGGAAACTGTACGCTGCTAGTGGGACCTAGCCCCAGGTGGCACAATTGAATGGAGAAATAAAACTGTGTTTGGTCTCTCTTCAATCTTGGTCATTCGGTCGTGTCTTTCGCCGCGCCTCACGAACTCAAAATTTCATTCATGCTGAATCTCATCCCGTCCGAGTCATCAAGCTCGCATGAAATGTGCCTTGATATTAAGGTGGCGGTAAAGGGCATTGTGCTCAGAGAGAAATGTACCTACCTTGGTAAGTTAGACATGGAGCAAAAGGTTTTCTTTTCAGTTATGGGTGCTGAAATGTATTCGGTCATGGGTGTTGCAAAGTGTTTTCCCACCCTTCACAACAAAGTCAAAAAAAAAAAATCCATTTCGGGTAACCGTTCTCTTTTCCGGTCATAAAGTTTGCACCCAACTGGACCTTGGTAGTAACGTGGAGGTTTTACGGACATTATACTCTTTTTTTTTTTTTTTTTTTTTTTTTTTTTTTTTTTTTTTTTTTTTTTTTTTTTTTTTTTTTTTTTTTTTAACAACGCACCCATTGGTGCTCTTCTCACAGAACGCGCCTTTGGTAAGTCGTTGAAAATGGAGCTAGCTAAGAGACGTTGTTGCATGTGTTCAGGGTGCTTGGACCGCTAGTACATGGCCCCAGCCTTGCCGAAAAGAGATTTGTCGCCCGCCAGATGCCATCCGAAAAAGACGGCGCAGGCGGGCGTGATAAAAAAAGGTCGGTGTGGCCGATAGCTGGAAGGATGTCCTTGTGCCTTAACCCTCATAAAGCAGGTTTCTCGAGTAGGAGGAAATGTAGAATGCCGTTTATGGAATCGCTGGTGCGATCCCAAGCAGGCTTCCTCTGATGATGGACTTGGAGACACGATGGCAAATGGGATGTTCTGGGCACCAGAGTGGAGATCGGTGCCAGCATGGCAAGATACTATTGCTTTCCAAACAATTCTGATTGTGTGTGGAGCAAGGAGGGTTTCTTCTCTCGTACTTTCCAGGATTTAGAGTCGTATTCCACTGTGAGGCAAAAGAGGCAGTGATTACAAGCGTTCCGTAGAGGATTCCTAGAATTATGTCCGCTGAGGAATTAATCGGTCTGAGTTTACTTAGCGTGAAAAGGCAGCTTCGACTGCAAGGATATCCGGGCTGGATTTTTTTTTTTGTGTTTTTTTTTTTGGAGGGGGGGAATGGGCTGGATTTTCAACAAGTGCTTGTGGAAATCTGCGCAAAAGAATGTGCCATCGTGTGAGAAATGGGTGTGATGAAGGTTTTGTGGTTGGTAGTGTAGCTGGGGATCATGGTGTTGTGCACCCGGAACGGTACAGTAACTGCCAATTTGGGGGAACAAATGAGTTACGGGAAGCGGGTTTGAAGTAGGGATCTGAAGGTAATGAAAGAGGTAATGAAAGAGGTAATGAAAGAATGAGTAGGCGGTAAACCCTAAACCCTAAACCCTAAGTGGGAGTGTGGGTTGATTTTGCTCTCAGGATGGTTGCTCTCTGCTTAAGAGTGGGTGTGTCAGAATTCTCTGGGACTGTGGGAGTGATGGTAGTGAGGTAGAGGATTTGTGCTATTCATTGCAGATGGAGACGGTGCTGACCTTTTATCGCTACGGTGGGGTTAAGCCTGGCCAGTGAGCCCGGCTCATCCCTGCTGGCCGTGGCTGGTTTTTTTTTTTTTCAGTAAATAATTACAGCATTTGTCGATTTATGTGTGTTGTCCTTGCGCAGGGGCCATGCTAATTAATCTTCTCTGTATCATTCCAATTTTAACGGATGTCCCGAAAGACACATAGCTGTTTATGTGAGGGACGCTGGGGCCATTTCCCAGCCTGTAATGAATGTTTACTGTTGCGGTAAAAGGAAAAAAAAACGAATTGAGTAGTGGTAAGGGACTAGACGAGTAGTATGAATGGGATAGCAGACAGAGTAGGATATTTGACGAAATGGGACATCATGGTCGGGAGAGTGAGCAGACTTTCGGGTTGATCTCGAGTACGGGACCGGTTGGAGGCTCAAAATATCGGGGGGGTTGAACCTGGACAGGACCTAGGACCGGGAGAACGTCTGACAAACTTGGGTCAGATAGGTCTGTGTACTACCGGGCCGTCTAGAAGGATTGGGAACGAGGCCGGATGCAAAATCGTCGAATGTAAAGATTAGGATGTTACTAATTTAAGCATCTCGAAGTTGGCCCCTGATGAGGCCGCTTACTCGCAGCGGCTGAAACTTGTAGGGAACGCCAGTCCCTTCGCCAGGCTTCCGGGTCTTCCATGTCTTTTCCTTCGGCGAGGGAGGAGTCGTGGAGATGATCGCCAGATGGCGGCCATAGCCTGACACTTTGATTTCTTGCCTTTCATTGTTTTATCGTATGAGATCTCTTCGAGAATGTTTGGTGCATACTCTTTGTCGTCTATGGCGATTACGTGATGTGCCTGAGCGTGTCGTCTACGACTTGTGTTGGTCGTGACTTTTACTCATTCCCCAAGAAAAAGGCATGCTACTACCTGTCACAGAGGTTTCATTGCACAATTTACAGGCCCCTTTTCCCAAAAAAAAGGGTGCTACTACTTGTGACAGATGTTTCGTTCCACAAGTCGTTGGTTATCATATTGGGCTTTCCTCCTTTGTCGTTTTTTTTTTTTTTTTTTGCTCAATTCCTATGCTGCTTTTCTTTCTTTTTTTGGTTTCTGGTTGAAGATAACGGCTCGTTTTCTTTCGGTTGCTTGTGCTCGTGTGTTTTGGATCCACAAGTCGTTGGTTATCATATTGGGCTTTCCTCTCTTGTCTTTTTTTTTTTTTTTTTTTGCTCAATTCCTATGCTGCTTTTCTTTCTTTTTTTGGTTTCTGGTTGAAGATAACAGCTCGTTTTCTTTCGGTTGCTTGTGCTCGTGTGTTGTGGTCTTCTTCTTCTTCTTCTTCGAATAATCTTTCTATCAGGAGTTTATGACACGTTTTCCAAGAAACTCGCGGAGGCAGTTGGCGCTCTCAAAGTGGGAAATGGGTTTGACAAGGAAGTGACAACGGTATGATGAGAATCATTAGATACCCCATTGAACCCCCCCACCCTACCCCTCTCCTTCCCTGAGAATCATTAGATACCCCATTGAACCCCCCCACCCTACCCCTCTCCTTCCCCGACCCCCTCTTCCCCCCCCGTGCCCCCACTTCCTTCCTGCGCCCCCCCAGTCAGCAATCCACCTCTCCCAATCAATGCAACCCTTCGCCCCCTTCCCTACCCCCCCGGGGCTGCGATCGAGGGGAAGTCGGGCGTATTTAACAGTTGGGGCAGTTTAACATTGACCCTCCTGAAGGTGGGATCGACAGGGAGAGGGAGGCGATCCTCCTTCCAGATCGATACGTGCAGACTATTTTTAAGAAAATGGAAGTTCGGATCATTTCGTTACTTTTTCTCAGTAAATGAAGTTGTGATGGTGACTTGTGATTGGCTGCACTAGGAGTAATCTGTTGACATCCTCGACCGCCGCCATACTGAAACACAACATAGATTGGCGTTTCAGGATCGAGTCCTAGTGCGGCGAATCATTTCATCAGGCACATCTGATTTGTATTTGGTCACTATTGAGTCCCAAAAAAGTGTGAATGCGGATATTCATAACCAGTCAAAATTTTGGCTAATTCTTCAAAATCGTAGAACAAGTCTGAACAACCAATATTCCACAAAATTCTGGCAAATTTTGGCATAAATTGTAGAACAAGTCCGAACAGCCGAATAAGAAAATCCCAGAGGAAAAGGCACCTGATGGTATTGAATTGTTGAATATCGTAACGAAATTCATCGAAGCGAATTTAGTAGGGTCATTCTTGTTGTTGTTTT